ACGCTGAATAAACACAGCTAGTCTGGAATGAAAGAGGCTGACGCAGTATAGAATAGCTTTATATAGGAATAGTGATTTCGAAAACTGTTATGAAGGATGCTAAAAACTAAAATATACCTTATCTTAGGGAATAGAGATAGGATGATTTCAAAGAATTTCATTCCCTACACATATATTATTTTTAATCTAATTATTTTTTTAATCTAGAACTTCCTAGATGTTACCAATGTAACGTATTTTTTATGGAAGACAACGAAATTGAAAATTGTTTTTCTGATATTGAACGTTAAAATGTCACTTATCATGTTGTTCGTGGAATTGAATAAGATATAACTTGAATAAAATAAATGATTAAATATCCGATGAAAAATATAAAATTATTCTTCCAAAAATAAATGCTTATTTCATGTTAACTAAACGAAATGGGTTTCAAAATAGTATATTCAGGAAAAGACAAAAAATAATTACAGGTAAATTTTGATTTTTAAAACCAAAGATAAAACTAGAAAACGTTTAGCTTAAAAAAGTTAAAATACCAGTTTTTTCTTAACAGTTCAGTAAAAGAGTTATATGTTTATGCAAATATTTTACATAACAATCTTATTATATTTAATAAAAGCATCTTAGATGTATAACGTTTTACATCTTACGAATATCTCTATAAAATTTGGAGATATGGGATTTCGAACTTCGAATTGAAATCAAAAGTGAAATAGCTGTGAGTATGACAACTTTTAGTAATTATAACAACCACCTTTCTACCACAGAGTAGGTACTTCCTTCACAAATATTCACGATAGAGAAGCGAGATCATTAATTAAAATCTTCACATATGAGCACCCCGAAATTAATATCAGTTTCTGCGTATTATCGGTGTTTGTAAAATAATCTTGGCTCTAATGTATTAATTAACTGAAAGTTGAAATCAATCATTGTCTTTCTCAAGTACAATTTAGTTTGGTTAAGCCTTTTCTCTGTCATTTCATTTTAGTGCAGGTTTCTAACTTTACTGATTTTAACACATATTTATAAATGATTTCGATTCTGGATTGGAAAGTTGTGACATATAGTGTGAAACGGAACAGTAATTAGGAAAGTTTTATTTCGTGCTTCACAGAGGATTTTCCATTATATCTTAAACGACAAAGCTATCTTTTATTGTTATATGTATAACATATCACGTCAATGATTCTGGAGCTTCATGAAACCAAACTATAATGTTGGATCCCTTTCTACTATATTTATTTAGAAACAGAAGTGATGCTTCGAAATAGCAGTTACACTTCTTACGTAAGGAGTTTTGGTAAGTATAATGCTGAAAAAGTTAAAAAATATGCAAGAACTATAATAACAGATTTTTAAGGATTTTCCTATCAGGTTTCCTATCAGTCTGTTACTTGAAAATAGGCATTTCAGGCTCATTTTCTTCCCTCCGGCCTTGTTTGTAGCTGTAGTAAAGGGAACTGCAGCAGATGGTCAAGTTCCCTTGTCGTATTTTTCTCACTTCATTTCTGTTAAGCGTGCTTCGCTTCGTGAAAAGCGCATGAATGAAGGCTGACTTCAGCTGTATTCTCATATGAAATGCAAGAGGTATGTGGTGACGAGAATAAGAGAAATGAGGGAGGGTGAAAAGATCTTGAAGCATCTGTTTTAAAGTTACAGACTATAGAGGGCTATGTGCATCTGAAAAGTTCGGTGAAGGGTCCCATATGTTAGAAACAGCACTGGTTAATATAGGACGCTCGCGCATACGCTTTGAGAGACATATCAACAAGTACCCTTTTTTGTGCAAATCACCGAAGTGAAGCAGTGGTGCACATTGCAACTAAGCTAGCGGATCCAGTGTGAGAACTCGGGTCATTGCAAAATGGAGTAATGCATTAACTTGAAGTTTTGCTTCAAATTAGGAAAAATAAGACGGAGACTCATGAAATTTTAGGGCAAGTGTACGGTGTTGAAGCAGTGAGTAAAGTTTGTGTTTCAGCCTTTTAAACGGTTTAGAGACGGAAAGGAAGGTGTTGAGGATGAGGCGCATTCCTGTAGACCATCGACAAGCACAATCCCAGACAATACTGAACAAGTGCAATCCATGCTTGCAGATTATAGACGGCTGTCTTTGAGGACGACATCAGAAGAACTGAAGAAGATAAGCAAAGACAGTGTAAGCACTATTGTTCATGAACACTTGGAAAAGTGGAAGATTTGTGCATGGGTTTGTACCGCACTCCCTCACAGATGAGCAAAAGCAAACTCGTCTTACCAGAACCCGTAATTTTTTAAACCATCATTAGAATCAATGGTATGGTGTCTATCGGGTTACAGCCGAACACATCGCGGAAAAAAACGTCGCGGAGAAAACAACGCAAAGCGAATACTTCGTGGAAGAATACATCGCAAAGAGAAAACATTGCAGTTCCAAAATATCGTGATACAAAATGTCGTGGCCTAAAATAAAGCGGTTCAAAAGCTTCGCAATTTAAAAACATCGTCGTCAAAAACTTCGTGGTAAAAATAAAGTACCTACAAATCATCGCATACATGTGACACATTTCCCATACTGACATATTATGTAACTGACTTTCGTCATAACTAACAAATCGACATTCAAAAAATTGATTGTACACTGTACAGAAAAATGTTAACGACATTAAGAATAAACGGAAACAAAACGATATATAATTTTCACTAAAATAATATCAGATTAACAAATGTGAAAAAAAATTTCATCATTAACTAACCAATTTTTATAGAGGTAACCTTATGCAGTTATTTATCTTCCTTTTTATAAGCATTTTTAGACTGTATTTTTGATAAAAAATTATCAGTAAATCTTTATAAAAAATGCTAATTTATTAATAACCTTTGTTAATTAACTATGTAAATTAAAAATTCTATTAAGTTCTATAAGTTGCGTTAGCTTCCTACTCATTTTCAATTTTTAAATGATTACGTTGACTTCTTATTTTTCAGCAAACATTTATTAATTCGTTCAAAAATATGAAATATAAAAGTAAAAGAATCCCTCTTTCCTTGTTTCGTTCCCAGATCATTATACGAACATGCACTTACAACTTTTAAAATCTGAAAACGCATCTGTGCGATGTTATCGTCATGCGATGATTTGTAGGTATTTTATTTTTTACCACGATATTTTCGACGATGATGCTTTTGAACTGCGAAGTTTTTGAACCGCTTTATTTTCGACTACGATATTTTAAAACTTTTTTTATTTTGTACCACGATATTTTAAAACTGCTATGTTTTCTCTTTGCTTTCTTTTCTCCCATGATGTTTTATATCACGAAATTTTCTCCGTGCGTTGTTTTCTCCGCGACGTTTTCGTCCGCGATGTTTCCGGACACCGTTTATCGTCCTTCCCATCTCCCAAAAAAGTCAGCTGACAAAATCTATGATTTAGACGATGTTGATCGCCTTTTCGATAGCAAGCGCTTGATCCATCATGAATTTCCACTCGAGGGTCAGACCGCCAACGCGAAAGTTTACGAGGGAGTTTTGAAACAGCTGCCCTAACTCATGCAGTCAGAACTGTACTGAAGTGGATAATGGAATTTCCTCCACGATAACGTCTGTCTGCTCACTGCGATCCGCACGCTTAACTTTCTTGCTGAACGCAAGGTGATATTCTTCAACACCTTTATTCTACAGATTTGGCATCGGCAGACCTCCTTTTGTTTCCCCGCCTTAAATTAGCTCCGAAAGGCGTACGATTCGCAGACGTTGCGGATATGGAACAATGCATGATCACGGTGTTTCGAGCGATTCCAGAAGCCTTTGCTGATAGTTTTCAACAACTTTCTCAGAAGTTTGTTGTAAATAATGGGGATCAGTTTGAAGGCCAGTAAAGGTATTTTATTTATAACTCTTGGTTTTTTATTATCTGAGGCCACTCACTGAACTTTTTAGACACATTTTGTATTTCAGAATGAAAGTCTTTGCGAGGGACATCATAAGGAAAACTAACTTGTAATCACATTTCAGATGAGGAAAATCCAATTCATTCAGACTATTCAGCCGCCGGAAACTGAATCGGGAACAACAGTCATATGCATATACTTATGGGCAATGCCTAATTTTCGCAGGGACAAGCGCGGCCCCTGCGAAAATTTTACCTGGTTTCCACTCTCAAAGGATCTTAAAATTCTCCTACAGTACCTAATAAGAGTGTGTAAAGTTATGCTTTTTTCAGTTCTAATCTTTAAAGCTGTACAATTATAAATAGAACCCGAGGAAAGAAATGATTTTTTCACTCGTAAAAATAATTGAAATTTTTTATTCTATATTTTCTTCTCACACTTGATTGAACTTAATGAAAACTATACTTGAGAGAATCACTAAGCAATTTTATTTGGTCTTATCTTTATAACTTAATTAGTGTTTATAGTAAAATCCAAAACATTAATCAGGCTTTTCTATTTCTTTTTGTCCAGTTTCTTTTAAAGAATGAAGATTCTGGTTTAAGGTGTGTTAGTTTATATTTTTGCAACATGTAATTAAAATGAAACCATGAAAAGAAAATTTAGAAAAAAATATGAAATACAGTTTATTGTTTAAAGAAATTTGAATAAAGAAGATAAAATTATAAACATATTTTACGACATACTTTGCATCACCACCATTAGCTTGTACGATAAAAAAATTAGGGAGTAGCTCTGTAACAAGTTTTGGCTTCGAGCTTTCGGTTTTGAAAATCAAGTTAATTTTATGGGAAGTTACTTTGGGCAATCTAAACACATGATTGCACAAGATATGATTGAACAGAAATATATACAAATCAATTATTTTGATATGTTAATATAAATAAAATAATGATTTTGTTTATATTAATATAAATTTCCAAGTTTTTTTTTACATTTGCAACAATAAAACGTTGCTCCACCACATTAGATGATATACCTTGTCTTTGCTAAAATTGGAGGAAACATCGCAATCAGATGGTTAATTCACATTTTCAATAATATGAAAGATCAGTGTTTACTTACAGTCAGGTCTAGTCCCAAAACGGCCTACAGTGCTTCCTTGGCCGGTTTCGAAACGGTTCCACCCGTAAATTCGGAATTCATAATCAGTCCATGGCTTGAGTTCCACAAGAGTTGAACATTTGGAAGTGGCATCGGAAGTGATGTTTAAGAAAGAAGGCGCTCCGTGAGGATTTTCGACCTCCCGATATTTTATGATGTACCCGAGAACTTGTCCATACTCAGGTCGTGTCCAGCATACTTGAACAGTGGATCCCGTAGCATTGGCAGAACGGACATCACGAGGTTCTGTATGAGAAGTAAATACATTGAAAGAATATATGAAAGTATATTCATAAAATACACTTATTATCTATTCAATGCAATAAAAACATTGACAAAGAAATTTTCAATATCATACTAAGGTTCAAATACACTACCGTTTTTAGTTTTTAGTTTTTAGTTTAGTTTAGAGTAGAAAAGGCTGCCCTTTGATTTGGTGCCAAATACCTACGATGCTACCGGTTCTCTGGTAACCCACAATCGTCTCAGTTTCCCCAACGTTATTGCAGGCATTTTATTGTTACGTCCCAATGTTTTTCTTAAGTTTAATCTGATTGGAACTTCTTAGTTTAATGATCAAGGGCTACGTATCACGTATATTGAATTATTGTAATTTTAACTGCCATTAATTACCTTTGGTTTTAGTTTGCTAGCTGGTTTTAATTAATCGTTGTCCCGTCACTTCCACGAAGAAGTATGTCTGGCAAAATAAATACTCATTTTTTTCATGATCTAGAGCGAACGCGTAAGAAAGCTATAACTGATTAGTGCATGAATGTGGGTTTAATTAGGTTTTCGATCTGAATGTGAAATCTGTACGAAACAAATGCGTCTGGTACAGGGTAAGGATTAATCGATTACATGAGTGGGTTTGTCGCAAGAAAGGTGACTGGCGCTCATACCAGTCACCTTTCTTGCGACACCTTTCTTTGAGGGAATGTGGAGCCACAGTAAGCGTGAATTTCGTAAGCGGGATTTTCGGCAGTCGTCGGATGACATTTTTTTATTCCTCAGTTTCGGAGTTTATGTGGCATCATTAATATCGGGATCAGGAGAAGAAGGATCAATTTTGGGACTGTATGAATTAAATTTTGTTTGTCCAGCAGTCATCCGAGGATGACGATGAAACGTAGTCAAGAACACAACAGGACAAAAAAACGTGAGGTGAATATTGTTATTTTTCTAACATACATTTTCGTGTATTTTTCGGTGACGGATATCCTGGAACCACTGATTATCGGAGCCTTCTTGGCGTCTTAAAAAATCACAAAAAATATCAAGGGCACCCTATTTTAAAACTTACCCTGCTTTTTTGAGAATTTAAATAATATTTTAACCTTTACTGTATGATATATACCAGGTGAGACCAAAACCTAAGGTGACTGATGTCGTAATAATAATTGTATTACATATTTACATATAAATACATCACTGTCCTTCAAAGTAGTTCTCGCCGTCTACAATACACTCCTGACAACGTTCATACAAGTTCTGGATACTTTTGAAAAAGTCCTCTTTCGAGACTGTGTTACGTTCCTTGGTAACAACAGCTTGAATGTCTGAGATGCTTGAAAATCGGTGTCACTTTAGTGCCAATTTCAGTCATGGAAGGAGGAAAGAGCCTGCGTCATCATCTTCCCTTCATTTTGCGCGAGCAGACTTTTTCTAATGGATAAATTTACCTATGTCACATTTCTTTTTGTTCTCGATAGGTTTATTCTCGATATTTTAGACCCTAGTATTATCGTGCAACCAATCTTAGTTATTTAATTTTCATCTATTATTTGGCAACAGCAACGATCCGATTATGGTGTTGATGATCTGAGATATGTGGCACTGTTTGGGTTCTAAACATAATTTATTTATCATACTTTAGATGCATATCATTAAAATTCACCGAGTAAATAAATATGGAAACTTCTGTGAACAAGTAAATATATGCTTCTATTTCTGTTTGAAATGACACTGAAATTTTAAGTTAATTAAAGAGATAATAATAATACCGAATGCTGTTAAAATCTTCACATAACGTTTCTGCGATGATATTAATATCCCAAAAATAGTATCAATTTATGCGTAATATCACTCTTTATGAAGTTATCTTGATACTAACGTAAATGCAGGAAAGAACATTGTATCTAATTTATAATCCTAGTTAATATAAAATTGTTCTAACAAAATACCGTCTTTATTCCATCTACGAAAATAATCAGGATAAAGGCAAGTGAAAGATAAAGTGGTAGCAAAGAAGAATCCAATGCATAAAAGATATTGCGTGAATATGGATGAGTGCATATTGGATAGGCCGAAAGAATCTCAGCAGGAAAAAGAAAACACGATGTTGGGTACAGAGGGTATTTTGGCTAAACCAGCTATTGTGAAAATACTGTGCATTACATTCTTTGGTAAGGAAATCAAAACATATGCAAAAGTAATTAAAATGAAGTAAAATTTTACAATACACGTAGGAGTCATGTCGGAAGCACTATTTTTTGAAATAGTCTACTATCAGAATTTTCATAACGAAAATGCTCGCAAATCACTCCCATAAAGCTAAGTAACAAATAGAAATATGGAATTCGTCAAAAAATCTGTGTAACTCTGAAATTCATAACAAAACTGTCTGTGTAAATCAAATAACTAGGAACATCTATACTTCCTCCCTCTTGTTCTGACGGTATTTTCTCTACTGCAGTATCATTTTTTACCGGCTCACACGTTCGCATCTCGAAACATCGAGATGTGAATCTCGAATTGAGTCTTCGATTCGAAATCGAGTCATCGAAAGCATTTTTCTTTTGGAAAATTCATTCTGTCCAAGGTTCTACTGTATCTCAAAAGTGTATATCTCCTAGATTTCACGAGGGTGGATTAAATGCAAAAAGATTAGACATTAGTGTCACTCTGTGCAAAGAAACCTGATTGCATTGGACATTACAACTCAACCAGGAACACAGCCAATGGAATTAAAGCAAAGATGATAGTCCATGCTAATGAATAGCGCGATTTATTCCCCTGAATGTGATCTCGATGAGTTTTATGATAGAAAGAACTTGAGACCAGCTGCCATATAATACATATTCTGTAAAATAATTTCAAAGAGAAGATTTTATATGAGTATTATGTTTCTATAATTAACCGCAAGAGTTTTATATTGTATTACTAATGTGTAAATTTTAATGTATTTTTTATCTCATTAATAATATGGAGCACATGATATGGTAATACTGGAAAGAATAACAGTGAAAGGTTACAAGAACTTCCCCTAATGGATTAGTAGTTTCTGTTTGAGGATTAGTAGTTGCTGTTTGTTGCTGAAATCTGTGACGGTCACAGATTTCGTACTTTCAGATTCTGTAATAAAAGTACATATAATGATGCGCGTCCATATACTGAATTCTCATTTGACAGATCCTGCAAAATAATAGAATTGTTCCGATGTAGAAGCATGCAAAGTCACCAAATCTCGGTCTAACAATGTGTGCATGCGACAGGTTAGAAACACATGTTGCAGACCAGACTTCTGCAAAAATAAAGATCACTGAAACAAGACATGATCAGTAGTGTTACCGTAGGAGTGGGCTATCATTATAAATACTACATGTCAGCTCACGACGATTGTTTGCTATCTAAAACACATGTTCATAATGAAAAATATTGTAGAGACATTTTAAGGTATTTCTGGTATTTCTCCCGCCTTCCTAGCGTGCCTTCGTGGTGAAGTGCTCCTGTACACTGGGCCGGTATTCCAGAGGTCCGCGGTTCGATTCCTGGGGAAGGCGATTTCTCATTTTTGATCTTACTTGCTTCTAAAAAAATACCTAATGTCTCTACAACATTAGGTATTTTTTGGAAGCAGGAAAGATGAAAAATTAGCAATGCCTTCGCCAGCAGTCGAACCACGGACCTCTGGAATATGCGCCCTGGGTGCAGACCACCACACTACGAAGGCATGCCAAAAAGGCTGGAGAAATACCTTATAATATAAATACTAATATTATTGCTGAGTATATTAACCTTATTTCTCTGTTTATGATATAACTTATTCCGTGCGTTTGTACATTTTATTAAACATCCGTAGAACATTTCTTTGGTTTTATTAGCAGTTATTAATTTGTTCCCAAGTTTAGAGCAATATGTTTATAAACAGTATTTTATGAAATCCTAATGTTATAGAAAACACTATGGTAACGGGCTGTCAGTATATGGCATAGATTTTGTATGCCACATTAAGATATCCTTATAAATTTTGAAATTTATGTTCTGGGGTAATGTATTAGCATCTCTTCCATATTTATTAACTTATCGCGCCTTATACTTTCAGGTCCGCAGCCAGATGCGCAAATGAAGGAACTGCCCGGAGTGTGGTTTTAGATATAAGATACCATGCATTATTCGACTGGAATACATCTTTGAGGATAAAAAAGAAAAAATAAAAAAAAAAGGAGGCTGCAGAATATCTTACATAAGTTTTGGTTAAATATAGCGTATAGCTTTTGGGTGTAACAGAAGAGAGAGATGAAGGTTCTAGCATTGAATTACACGGCATATTATATCCAATGCTGTGCAGTGCCTGTATATACGATTTCAATTACGTTTATTATTCTCGTGCAGGCAGAATAAAAATTACATACAAAGTCAAACTACTTTGATAGCATGAAGCCACAGTACAACAGCTTGGTGAAATGATTTTTTGATGGTCTTGGCAATGGTAGCTAACGAGTTCCTAGTTCTACTTTCCTATCCTATAATTAACAATATAAGCAGAAAGTAGCTCTACCACAGATAACTATTACTGCCCACAGTCAATTGTGGCTTGGGAGTTCGGTATAATGCATCGACAGATGAGGACATATCTATGCACTTTGATGCTCTTGTCGTCAACAGGATGATATCTGAAACAATGAGGTAACAATGCTACGCTGCTAATGCATCCAGATTCATGTGAATCAAGATATGCAGGGATGAACTAATCAGATATGTGAAAGGACTATGAACATATCTGTTCCCAAGCAGACCATATGATTAGGCTCTTCGTAATATCTGGTTCAATTCATCTTGAATTCCTACCAGACTAACTATCGAAAGCTTTCAGCTGCATTAATTCCTGCGTTGCACAGGACACTATCAGAATGGACACCGCCGCAGATCCTCGACATTTAAGTGACTATACTCCATGCATTATTACTTCTATATTTGTAAAATTCATATATTATACTTGCCTTCAGAAAGCTATTAACAGATGTACTTCTCACATAATATTGCATCTCTTTTAGATCATCAAGTTAAATTGAATAACTCTAGTATCTGAAAAGTATGCAAGTTAGATAACTGCGAGAAATTTTACATATTTTGAAACTTTCATCGACCTTCTGAAAAGGGATAGGTCTGTTTGCTAAGAATTCAAGAGTCGAACAATACCCAGCTAAGTCCAAAATTTCGAGAAAAAGGGCATTAAATGTTGTATGTGAAGTCATGCTCTTAAAAGCTTTCAGCAAACGTCAAGTTCTTGAGAGAAACAAATTTTTAAAAGTAAGAGTGTGCAAATTCAAAATAGTTCAATAAATATTCCTTTAATAACAAAAATACAAATAAATTTAGGAGAAGTTTTAGGTATTTGGTTTTTGAATTTACATTCAGTATAGTTATAGAAAATACTGTTACCAAATGGAAAAATCCATTTTCCACCTTTACAAAGCAAAAGGTTTTTATATATTAATAATAATTATATATATTTACGCATATTAATTACGAAACATTTTAATGAAATTAATACATATTTTTAAATATAATTGTTCATTAAGCTTTGAAAAGACAGCAACAAACTCCTGTAGCGTGTAACACTGCATTCTATGGAAATGGGCACTTTGAGATATAGTGATGCCAGCTATAGGATAAATACGCATTATCGCTTTTCATACATCCTACTGTTTATTAGTGGTACTCCGTATATACGTTTTGAAATTTTCGTTGCATATATAAAATAATGTTTCACCTTTTTAGTTCAAGTTTTCGTACAGATACGTTTTCGATTCGAAGGATATGAATTAAAGTCTTCTATTATTCTTTGCGAGTAACTTCGTTTTTAGTAATTAGGTGTAACATCTGAATTGCGATGCCTTTTGTTCTGTCCATCAATAAGGTACAGCATTCAGATATATGTGATGAAATGCAAATGATTTACTTCAATATATTTTCGAATTACGTTTGCTTATTTAAATAAATTTATCCTTAAAATCCAGTGAAATATCATAATTGATAATAATAACTTGAAATTTAAAACGTTTTGCATCATTTCATTATCGTTTCGATTAGAACAGGTAAATTACCAACACAATCAAGGAAATCTTACAAATTTAAACCTTACTAGTAACAAAATAATAGTTCCAGATAGTTGTGTTCGGTTTGGTTGCGGAGAAAACATGATTAACAATGATGATCAATAGTATATATTTTCAAAAATAGTAGTTATTTTACACGCGTTTGTTTTAAGAAGGTTTTACTTCTGGGTGATAGACGCGAAGCCTCTTTCTAGTGAAAATTCCAGGCAGTTTACAAACCTTCAAAGTAAGTTATCGCATCGACTTGCAAGAAGATTTTAAATCAGGGGATGTGAACTAATTGAGGACAGTATGGTTTCAAACAAGGACGGTTAACATTCGTGCCAAGCAATATGTTTGCACCAGACTGTATTAGCGGATGAATCACTATAAGATTTAATTATTATGAATACCACAGACGTTAAAACACAACTGCAAAAATGGGAATTTGCTGACATCTTTATATTTAAGACTTCCCATGATTTTTGGTAATGCGACTGATCAAACTGATGTTAATAACAACTTATTACAGCCGCACGGCGAAGACTTGCTTTTAAGTCTGGTTGTCTTTTGATTAACCATAATTGTATTTATTTTCACATATGAAATGTCTTATGTATACTCCTATTCCTTCGAATATAGCAAGCATGTTTCTTTGTGTGATATGGGTGTTTAATGAATTAGCTCCGTTGAACACCCATTAACACCTGAAATTTTGCAATGTCAAGAATTTCTGAGAACTCTTACTTTAAGGGGAAACAAATCATTCTCCAGTGGATGCCTGGCCATTGTGGCATTTGGGGCAATGAGCAAGCGGACTTCCTTGCCAGCTTACTACAACACCCCAATACAGCCATTTCTCATTGGAGGATTAAATTATTTACATTAATATTTTAAGAAGTCTTCAGACACGGAAAGCCGCAACATGATTGCTTTGCCGCCCACTTGCACTGCATATATATTTCAAAAATTTTCTATTTGCCCAATTTGTGATTCTGGAGAAGAAATGGACAGGGACCACTTGCTCTGATGTGGGGCTCTTCGTGGTCTTACAGAAGAGTCTAGATATTGGGAGACAAGAACGCTCTTTAGGCAATGCCTTCGGTCTTTTTGTTCTTAGTTCTACTGTTTGTAACCTCTGTTTATAAGATTTTAATTATTTGTAAATTTTTGCCTAGTCATTGGAAATAAAAAAGGGTCTTTCAACATATGTATAAGCATAGGTATTTGAAAGGAAGAAATAATTTAAACTCTCATTAAACGAAGCTATACAAATCCAAGGAAGGAAGAAGTCTAACAAATTAATTTTTGAAAATAACAAAAGACCTTAAAAGACATTACATTCTTAAAAATGTAAAGCTATTTAAAAGCCTATTTTCGAAATGCCATCCACTCATATCTTCAATAAACTCATTAAAAATTTGCCAAAATATTCTTTCATGTCGAAGTAGGAGCTTGTTGTAAAACCCCTTATGAAATGAGACTGATATCGTTCATGAGATCGATTAATATCGCATAAACAAACGTATTTTTGTAAAACCCTCTTTGAAGTTTTTTTTAAACCGTGAATTAAAGATAAATGTGGTTTTCTAAAGGCTTTCTTTCTTTTAAAGAAATACTTTACAAGTTTTTTTTTCTTTGAAAAAAGGAATATAAATAAAGCATTCTTAAGTGGTTAGAATGAAGAGTTATTAAATTATAAAACAAATAAATAACTGCATCCAATAGAAATCGAGTACACAACTTAATTTAAATGTTTGATAAGAAAAACTCTTGGCATAATATTGAAAAAAATTGTTTCATGCTTTGTTTTGTACGCCATATAAAGGACTTGTGATATATAAACTTTTTTAAAGCCTCGTTAAAATATTGAAACAAGTACTCTCTAAGTTCACATCCCATATGGATAAATATACCCTCTCTATATACTCTCCCATATATATATATACGCATTGTTGAATTCAATTTCATGAGAGGATACAAATCTAATTATTTAGTTATGCATATAAACAATGTCTCACTAAAACTATTGGACATTTCTAATTTCCGAAAATAATGTAAAAATTTTTAGTGCATTAAAATGGAGTTGTAAGATATGGTTTCCTTTGAAATATACATTTGCGTAATGTTCTTCCTATACTAAATATTTTATTTAAAACGATATATATTGAATATAAAATTAACCTTTTCTTTGGGATGGAAAAAACCATGTCAAAAAAGTCACAAAATAATTATTATTATATCAAGTTAAAAATTAATTTTGTTTATTTTTGTTGGATTGTTGCTAGCTTTTTTGTTTGGAACAAGCCTTTCCTATGCATTCTAATTTCGCATCTACGTTTTCCTACCAGAATGAGCCCACCAGCGGCCGAGCGGTAAAGACGCTGAACACTGGTAGTTCGGTCCGAGGTTCGAATCCCGCGAACGGGCTGGCTGCATGGGCGTTTTTGTGGTTTTCCCCATGTGTAACGTGTATACGAGCCAGTTTCCATTAGAACGTCCTCCACGAAGGCATCCCTCCCATTAGGCAGATAGCCCTAGTACGCTTTGCCATAATTAAATACACACACACACCTACCAGAATGAATTTTTAGAATTACGATTTACTCAAATTAGGTAGAAAACGAGTATTTAAGCTGAAGTCTGGATCATTTCAGTAGGAGAGCGTGTACCGCCTTCCAGCCTCGTTTTTTGCTATTAGTCTAAGCTTAATATTCTACGGCCGTACTTATACGTGCCTGCTAGTATACGCCAGTGATTTTTTTAATAAGTTTCGTTAGTTGATTTTGTGAAGCTTCGGCTGATTAATTTTATTTAGCTTTGGATTAATTTTAGATTTCCTATTTTGAGTTGAAGCCCAAGTCGAGACTTACTGTACACCTGTGAGGGAACAACTGTTAGTTCATTTTGAGTTGGAATAAAGGGTATTTTAACACTTCTTTGGACTTGTTGCTTACAAGAACTCAGCAGTAGTCGCTACACAGTTCTTTAGCATTCTAGCTTACAAAGAAATCTTTCTTTAAGAATCTTGCATTACTAATTTCAGTTCGTGACTTAAGAGATATCTTGTTTTCAAAATTTATATTTAATTTATCATCACATATGCTGGACAAGGTTTAAATCTGAACGTCACAATTTAAAATGTTTCTAAATTGAGTTTTCTGTTATTGTTTCTGCGTTGAAAATACTCTACCGTAGTCTGCCATTGCTTTATCTCGGTGATATCTTTACATTAAAGTTTGTACCTCATCCGTTTCGCAAAACGTTTGCAGATATTGAGTGTTAATTCTGTGTCAGAGCTTGCGTCAAAACTCTTTTGAAAATCATTTATTCATCAATCATTAGCTTTCACCGCATCTGTTGGTTTTATTTTTTATTTTATTTCTCAATTATATCATTACAGAGTGGTCAGTTTTCTAAGCTGAATTTTGAATATATATATAAGATAAAAAATATGAAAGCAAACTTCTAAATTTAATTCACTATAACCTATTTTATTTTTTATTTCATTTGGAAACTTCATCGCTCTGTCCTAAAAATAGCGCTGTAAGTCTAAACTGCGTCAGTCAAGTTAATTATGCGATCTTACGTAATCCTTAATGCAGATGCCTCTTGAGCAATCACCAAATTGTAAACCAAAACTAAAAACTGAAACTTTTCACTCCCTCTTTTTTTTTCTATGAACTGATGAGTCACTTTTGCTTGTGCTTTCCTCCTGGCCAGACACCTTTCTCCAATCATGTGTGTGCTGCTATATTCGCTTCTATGGCAATAATATCACAATTTGTAAATGTTCTTTAATAGGCACGAGTAGAGTGCCAAGTGAATTGTGGCCACAAAATGAGAATTTAAATAAATAAAAGGAATTTAATCTGGCTCGAATGCTTCTTCTTCAAAATGGATGGACGCTCCCCCCCCCTAAGTATCAAGTATCTACGCTTTGCCCTGGCTGGACTGCAGTATGTCTGCTTCTTCGTTTTTGCTGCAAATATATAAAAAATGTAAGACTTTTGGAACAGTCACATTTAATATGCCGACTTGTGTGTAGCCGCAACATGTTGCTGAAAATAAAAACTGAAGATTTAATCTGCCTTCGCCTCCAATTTTCTGGTCATTGCTTCTGAGTTTTGAATATATAACTTATATATATATGTATATAATTATTCATATAAATTTTCTCACACCAACTAATCACATGTACAGTTTTACTCTTTCGTACAAAAATTTTTTCTTGTAAACCTGGGCATCACTGTTATCGGTTCTTTTGCGCTCTGAGAGTATTTCACAAACGGCTCGTTAAGAAGTTGAACA